GCTTGAAGAGCAGAAATCAGGCTGGTGAGAGCGGAGTGTGGTCAACACAGTGGGGGTGCAGAGAACAGAATGAGGTGAGCTCAGAGAGGTGGCCTGGGCCCAGCAGGTACTGACACTTGGAGATCTTGGTGAGGTTTTTTTGTTTTCTTTGAGGTGCATGGAAAGCTCTTGGAGAGTTGTTACTGTTCTTCCCTCTGCAAAATGCCTTTACTTTGCCTCATTCTTTAAAAAAATTACGGTAAAAATATATATAACATAAAATATGCTGTTATAAATCTTTTTTAAACATGCAATTTTGTGGCATTGATTATATTCATGCTGTTGTGCAATCATCACCATCATCTGTTTCCAAACCCTTTTCACCATCCTGAATGGAAACTCCATTAATCAGTTCTCACCATTTTCCCTTCCCTCTGCCCCAGTGATCTCTAATCTGTTTTCTGTCTAAATAGCTCATGTAAGTGGAATTGTACAGTATTTGTCTGGCTTATTTCACTTAGCATAATGTTTTCAAGGTTCATCCACGTGGTAGCAGGTGTCAGACCTCCATTCCTTTTTATGGCTGAGTAATATTCCCTTGTATGTGTACCCCACATTTTGCTTATTCATTCATCTGTGGATGGACACGGGTGGTGTTCCCACCTTTTGGCTGTCATGATTAATGCTGTCGTGAACATTGGCGTATCTGTTCCATTTTCTCCCCGGTTTTCAGTTCTTTTGAGTATATACCCCAGAGTGGAACTGCTGGGCCATATGGTAACTCTATGTTTAGCCTTCTGAGGAGCTGCCAAAATATTTTGCGCAGTGAGTGTACCATTTTACATTCCTACCAGCAGTGTATGAGGCTTCCAGTTTCTCCATATCGTCTCTAACACTTCTTTTCTTTTTTTAAATCATAGTCGTCCTAGTAGGTGTGAGGTGGTATCTCATTGTGGTTTTGATTTGCATTTCCCTAGTGACCACTGATTAATGGCTAGTGATTCTCTGGTGATTTTTCATATGCTTATTGGCCATTTGTATGTCTTCTTTGGGGAAGTGTCTATATTTGATTTGCAAATATTTTCTCCCCTTCTGTAGGTTGTCGTTTTCTTGATAATGTCCTTTGATGCATGGAAGTTTTAAATTTTGATGAAGCCCAGTTTATCTATGTTTTTCTTGGTTGCCCGTGTTTTTGGTCGTCATGTCTAAGAATTCAGTGCCACATCCAAGGTCATGAAGATTCATCCCTGTGTTTTCTGCTAAGAGCTTTATGGTTTTAACTCATGTTTAGGTTATTGATCCATTTTGAGAATTTTTGCCCATGGTTTGAGGTAGAGTTTCTCGGACGATTTTAAGCAAGAGAGTGCATGATTTGGTCTCTAATGTTGTAAGTGAGCAGCGTTGGCTAGAAGATTCCAAATAATTAGATCAGTTAGATATAAACCTACATGTGCTAAGGGAGTAGTTGTAGAAAGATTGACCTTTACTTTTATTTTTACCCCATAGAAGCATTTCTTCTATCTTAATTTTGTTAATTTTTTTGTTCTGAAGAAAGACAAATACGACATAATCAGTAATCTGCCTCTCCTGAGGAATAATTTTATTCTTTTTCTTCCCCAGATACAGTTTCCCAAAATTCTTCTTTGTCTTATTGTCAAGAAGCAAGAGTTCCTCATCACTCCCAGAACCCTTCTCCCGGAGGCAGCAGCCCTCGGCCTTCCGTGGTTGGACGCACAGGCCAGCGGCCCAGAGGAGACGGCCAGGACTGGGACGCAGTGTCCTCTAGGTGACTGTAGAAAAGCCAGGCTACCTTGTGTGTGTGTTTTCATTTTAGAGGGAGATCATTTTTTTCTCTTGTCTCGTCTTTTAAAACATTAGCACAGATATCGGCCTCGTGTTAAACCAGTGACCCTCATACTTTTTTGACCATGACCCCAGTAAGAAGTAAATATTACATTGCAACTGAGTACTCAGTACACAGACGTATCCTCTGTGTGTGCGTGTGTGTGCATCTGCCTGTGTGTGTCCACTGGAACAGAATGTTCACAAGGTAGTACTCTAATTCTATATGTTACACAGTGAACTATATTTTTTGTTCATTTCTGTTTCATTAAAAAAAGAATAGTGATTCTGACCCATTCAGTCATTTTTACCAGCCATAAATGAAATGTGATCTGGTTTAAAAGCACAGTTTTAAATGTTGGATGCATTTTGGTATTTTAAACCCATTTTTGTAAGTTTAATCATAATTTAAATGCATCAGTGTTTACTATTAGCGGAAATGACTGGAGAACCTAGAAAACAGTCCCCTTCAAGGTGCACAGTTTGTGATATTTTACTTATTTACTTGTATAAAGAAAGATTTTTATATATCAAGTTTTCTTGAAGGGATTCACATGGTGTTTGTACATTACCTCATTCTTATGCTACAAGCATCTTAAAAACCCGTTAGTCTTTTCTTTAGTGTTCAGTGTCGTTCTGCTAAGCGCTCAGTAGGATGAGCCCTTGTTGCTGGCGTGCTGCTGCTGCTGCTACAGGCCTGCACTGGCGCTCGCCGGCTGTGTGCTGGGTGTTACACCACGTGCTTCATGAGCCGCGTCTCCCTGGTCTTGATAACACTCCTGTAATAGGGCTGGTGCTGCTATTATCATCATTTTACAGAAGAGCCTGAGGTTTGCTGAGGCTGTGAGCCTAACCCCAGCCTGTACAGATGGTAAAGAGCAGGACAGGCGTTTGGACAGGACGGTCTGAGAGCCTTGGCGCCTCGTCCGTAGAGGGCAGCCGGCAGGTGTGGATCAGGTGTGGTTTTCGCTGCCCTCCTGCGCAGCCTTTCCCCCTCGTTCTCCATGCTGCATGTCGTGGGCTGCACACTCGCGCGTTTTCCTTCCTGAGGGAACGTCCTCCGGGGCCCTTTCAGAGTTTGAGAGAAGCCCAGCTCATTTCCATATTTTGGGATGCTTGGTATATTGGGGTTGAAGAAATGACAAAACGTGTCTTAAAATTTGGGAGTTTTACATGTTCAGTAGCATTAGTGCGTCTCTGTGGTTCATCTTCAATTGCGAATAGCATCAGAAGTCAACCTTTTGAGGTGCTTTGTAGTGTGAAGTTCAGGCCTTTCTATGGTACCCACCCCACAGGGAGAATTTTTTTAAAGAAAGCCAAAAAGATGGGATGTTCTGTTTTTGGGTGCATTTTCAAAATCATGTGATGTTGAATGTACTAAATAGAGTAATCCACTTCTCATGTTTTTCTGGCATTTTTCTAGCACTCTTCAGTTGCTAACATTGGTTCACATAGAACATTTGGTGAAAATCACAGATAATCTAGGAAACCATATGAACCATTTTGTTTCGCCTTTATAAGTTACAGAAGAACTTTGCTACGAATTTGCCTGCTTTCCTTTAGAAATGAATGGGTTATCAGTGCTAATATTGACTGCTGCTATAAGAATTTTGACACATTTAGAGATAAATCAATTTGAAAAGCAAAATATAAATGCATTTCTGGTTTCATTTACAATTTTGAGCCATCTTTATGGGATGAAATATCATAAATCCATCAAGGTTGCTAAAACCTGGCCAAAATTGTTTCGTGGAGCCATACAGTTGTGTCCAACGTGAGGCTTCTAATATGCTGGGCAGCAGAGAGGCAGTAAATCCGTCTGTGAGCTGTTCCCATATTCAAGGATTATCATCGCTTGTTTGATTTACAGCGGAAGCAGCGGCCACGCCCACGTCAACTCCAGGCTGTCTGTCCACTCCGCGCTGGACGTGGCGCACCTGGACCTGCCGGAGCTGGAGGCCGCCGACGCGCTTGAGCTGTGGTTCCGGCAGCTCAGTCTGCCCCAGTTCTGCGTCTCCATTCTGGAGTCGGCCGTTCCGCTCTTAAGAACAGGTTGGTGGTTCTTGAAGTTGGGGTTCTTTTTATATAATGTGTATTTGTTTTGTCTGTTTTCTAAGACTCTCAGTTTTCTGCGTTTCACTTTCTGTGTTAGGACCTTTAAAATCTGTATTTTCTTATCTTTTGGGATACAAACCCATAAGGACTTAGGAAGGTCTTTATTGTCTCTTAGTGACACGTGCCGTCGTGGGGCGCCTTTCAGGTAGACTATCCCCTTCCGTTTCTGGCCCTTCATTGTACAGGCTTCCGCTTCTGTGTGGCCATTTTAAAGGTAAGCACTGAGAAAAACAGTGCAGCTGGAGTAAGTTAGAGACGCTGGACCGGCATGAATAGACCGTTAGAAAAAATCTTTGGCTTTTGGTTTTTAGACATTTTTGAGTAGCTTTCAGTTCTTCACTGTTCCCACTCAGTTTTTACTTGAGCTATGAAACACATTAAAAACCAAAACAGACCCCAAACTGGATTCTTACCTTTACAGTAATTTCTTTTCCTTAAAAAATGAAATAAAATGACTCAGAAAACCCAGTTTGGAGTTACATTTTCTCTCGAATGCGCTGGGTAACTTTGCAAAGGTGTGCTGCAGTGTGCGCAGGGCAGCGGTTGTGACTTTAGTTGAGAGTGCGCAGTGACAGCAGCACGGCTGAGGTCCAGCGCGGTCCAGCGGTCACGCGTCGCTTACCCGGCGTTGAGCCCCGCCGGGCTCGGCTGCCGCAGCGACCTGGTTTCGTGCGCAGTATTTCGGGCCCCGCTCACACCAGCCCATTGTCCCCATCCGTTAGCGGAAGGTGCTGCCTTTCTCCCCGCTGTGCAATGAGGAGGCTGAGATGTAGAGGGGTTTAGAAACTTAGCCAAAGTCAAAGAGCTGAGAACAGGGACTTGAGCCACAGTTCTTCTGAGGCCGAAGTCCATGCGCTTTGCATTTCGCAAGGTAAAGATTTGGAATAAATAATGATCTTTTATTCTCTAAATATATACATTTTAAGTAATTGATAAACTTGTCAAGATATAAACACAAGATGAACAAGCTTTGCTGTTTCTGGTTTATGCTGGCTGAGTGAAAAATACATCCCGTGCGAATGGTGCTACTAGTCCTGTGGCTCCTTTTTGCGGCCCCCCCCCCCCGGAAGTGGTGGGAAGAAAGCAGGCGGTGGGGGGAGGTGTGGGAACATCAGCCATTTTTTCACCCTGAGGAAAACGGTACACCTTATCGCTGACTGAGTAACTGCTTCTGGGAGTTAGGAGTGCATATTCGTTCACGTGCTAATAACGCGAAGTGAAGGAAGATCTGAACTTAGGCAGCAAGTGTATGTGTTTGCGTGGCACACTGAGGAGAATGGTTTTCGATTTAATGATTTTGCATTTAACCTTTCCTTAATTTGCTACGAAAAGTCAGATTGATAATTATAAAGCTGTATCTTAGTACATAAAAATTTTTAAATGTTCTCCTGCCCTTTTGTGGTAAATTATTGCATAATTTGTAATTGTTCAATATCATAAGAGATTTCTAAGAGCCTTTGCTCCAGCTGCTCTAATGAAACAATTAATCTGGACCCTCATGATCTGGTAGTTTGTTTTGTTTTTATTCATTAGAAGTTGCCCTTTGGCATGTGGGACAGAAAGGCCTTGGTGGAATATTCCGCTCACTTAGAGTCACGGGTGGTGGGATTCCTGCGCTTTTCTGTTTCTGTGGGGAAAGGGGATTGCTCAGGTGGGTGTGACTCTGGCAGCACAGTTTCTTCTGGAATGTTTTTTAAGAGTTTAAGGTGAGTGTAGGCTGGAGAACCTGTTTCAGAAGGAGTTCTTGGCGATTCTTTAACGAACACCAGCATGGACGTTTGTCCCCCAGCCCCGGCTTCCTCCCCAGGCAGCTCCTGCGTGGGGAGCTTCTAGTCCTGCCGCCGTCCTGCTGGGCCCGAGGAGGGGGTGAGCGGAGCGCGAC